ACTTCTGGTCTGTGACTGGCCCTGAGTGCTAGATCCAGCAAACGTCCTAGAGCAGCCAGAGTGGGCACTGTATGCAGCACAGTCCCAGAGTGGCAGAGTGGCCACTGCAAACAGCATGACTCTGGAATGGGGGAATGTCATGTGGCCACTTCAAAGCCATGCTGCTTGTGGTGGCCACTTTCCTGCTCTGGCATGTGTGTTGAAGTAGGCACCATGTGTGGGAAGGTCCCAGAGTGGCCAGCGCAAGCAGCATGCAAGGCCATCCAACGTGTGCCATATGTTGCCTGTGGGTCAACTGCAAGACCCATGGGCAGCACTGTGGGCCAAATGATAGGGCTCCATTGGCTGGATCTGGCCCACAGGTGGTATCTTTGACAACCCTGTTCTGGCGTATGAAACATCATTTTTTTAAAAGCTGCCATATATTAAATTGGAGAACAGGTGTCTGAGTCACATTTAACAGACTAATAATACTATTTTATCTAGCATCTTTCTATGAAGGATTCCTAAACACTTTACAGATATGACAAATAACTTCTGCATAAATTTAGCAATATTTGGCACTTATGAATGAGAAAACCAAGCAGTTAGTATATTAGCATTTGGTTACTATGAACAAAAATTCCATTTCACAGGAAACAATAACTTGTAATGTGTCCTTTTCTGATCCAGTTTTTAGGAACGCATTTTGCTATTTATACATTTCTAATTCACACATAACAATATGAAACTTAACTTCTTACCCTATATGCCCTCTCACTGATAGGTTTAATGTTGGCTTCTTTCCATTTCCCAGGAATTCCATCAATCACTTCACGATAGTCCACATAGTAGCCTGTAATTTCAGCTCCACCAATGACTTTAGGCTGCTTCCATCCTAGCACCATGGAATCACGAACACTCTCCAACACAGTGATGTCATAAGGTGGTGAAGGGGCAGCTGTTTCAACATGAACAACACATGAGTAAGAAGTAACTATTCTATTAACTAAAGATATATTTAATTGAATTTTTTGGGTAGGCCCGTCTTCTATTTCCTAATCAGGAAAATCTCTTATTGGAATCAATGGATATTTTGCTGGAATAAGGAATGCAGGATTCAGGCCACTGTCAGTCCCATAAAACTGTAAACTGGATAAAAATTAGTTGGACTGCAACAGTTGTTTTTTCAGGAGGTAAGCTGATACACAGTGAAAGTGTGTGTTGCAACTGCAGCTGTTTTAAGTGATTTTTTTATTTTACAAAATGGTGACAAATAAAACTAATACTATAGCAGACTTACAAGATTTGGAGATGCAATGATTTATTTTCTTTTGCTGAAACCAAACATTTCCCTCCTACACACAATATTTGCTTAACTTCCTATTTTTTTTTAACACCATACTCCCCTGATAAGAGCAGACCGCAATCCGTTTGTTCTCTTTTGGTACCTCTACATTGTAATAATGTTATCATTGCACCTTCTGGGTAATCTTACCTTACTGAAACAAGACGCGATCATAACCACTATAGCCTGATCAGAAATGGAAGATGTCTGTTTCTGGAGCTCAGTTTAAAAACATTTGCAGCATAATTCTTTTTCTTTGCTTAATCAACATAGAAAGCATGTAACTTCAGACCCCCCAATCAAATTGACTGGCTTGCCATATCTCCTCTATTTATATTGGTAGAATATTGATACACCTCTGAGGCTGTGTCCACATGAGCATGGACATTTGTTTCCCTGGGGAGAAGAAGCAGCAGCGCACCTTGTGCCATTGCTACTTGTCCTGGGGGAAAGCCTGTGTCATGTGCCCTCTGGCACACAGCAGGTTACCCTAGGTGAAGTAGAGGAGGCAGGGGCTAGCATTGGGCTGGCCCCAGCAGCCTTACCTGGGGTCCTGGGAGCCTTCTGGGGCTGCAGCAGTGGCAATTCTGTGGCTCGGAGCCTAGCTGGCAGCTGGTGTGTGGCGCCAGCTGGCTAGGTTCTGGTTTTGAGTGGCACATGTCCCCACGTGTGCCATCTTGCTCCTTTTTGTATGGGTTTTTTGACCTCTTGATCTCCCAGGGTCATAACTCCCCATCCCCCTGTGTCCCATGCCACTACCTTGCAGCACAGAGAACAGCTGAATGCCTGGCATGTGTGGCACGTGCCGCATGGCCATGCTCATCTGGATGCAGCCTGAAAGGGTTTCTTGGTCCCACTTTAGATGAAGCTCAGACGTCTTTAGAGTGACCATATTTGTAGACTCATCTTTCAGAATAATACATCATCTAGTCAGTTAATTTTAAAAGGTACAGGAATTGGCTAAAACCGTCATGAAAAATTTAACTTCATGAATAATTAGCAAATTTAAGTCAACTATTACTGAAATGTACTTTACAGTACCTAGGTATATCTTCAGATAGGTATAGGTAGTTCAATGCCACAGTGCTGGGCATGAATACATAGATATGTGCAAGGAAAGGCTAACTGTATGCATATTACAGTACTTTGTATATTTCCTTTTATTTTCTTTATGCTCTGATTAATGGGTTATAACATTTGGACTAATTTAGAATGGATTTACTTAGGTGATCAGTTTATATCAGCTGACTCAATGTTCTTGAGGGTTCAGTGTTCATACCGGATAACATCAGAGATGTCCTTTGTATACAGCCTGACAAAGAGCGGGAAGAACATCTTTGCAGACAGGCTCGTTAACCTAGTGAGGAGGGCTTAAACTAGGTTTGCCAGAGGATGAAAAACAAAGCACTGAGGTAAGCAGGGAAGAGGGGAACCTGGAGGAAGCAGAAGCAAGAGAGGCTTCATTCTTCCTGAGAAAGTAGGGCAATCAGCTAGTCACCTCAGGTGTCTGTACACGAATGCATGGAGCCTGGGAAAAAGCAGGAAGAATGGAAATCTTCATACAGTCACAGAACTATGGTGTGACTGGAATAACAGAGAGGTGATGGGAGCTCACATGACTGGAGAACTGTCATGGATGGGTACAAACTGTTCAGGAAGGACAGGCAGGGGAGAAGAGGAGGAGGAGTTGCACTTTATGTAAAAGACTGTAGTACATACTCAGAGCACCAGTATGAAACTGGAGGTAGGACTGCTGAAAGTCTCTGGGTTAAGATTAGAGGGGAGAGCAACAAGAGTGATATTGTGGTGGGTGTCTGCTACAGACCACCAGACCAGGAGGATGAGGCAGATGAGGTTTTCTTCAGACAACTAGTGGAAGTTTCCCCATCACAGGCCTCATGGTTTTCATAGGGGACTTCAATCATCCTGACATCTGTTGGGAGGGCAATACAGCAGTGCACATGCAATCCAGGATGTTTTTGGAAAGTGTTGGAGACAACTTCCTGCTGCAAGTGTTGGAGAGACCGACTAGGGGCCATGCTCTTCTTGACCTACTGCTCACAAACAGGGAAGAATTGGTGGGTGATATAGATGTGAATGGCAAGTTGGGCAGCAGTGACCACTAAATGATCCAGTTCAAGATCCTGACAAAAGGAAGAAAGGAAAGCAGAGGAGTATGGACTCTGGACTTCAGAAAAACAGACTTTGATTCCCTCAGGGAACTGATGAGCAGGATCCCCTGGGAGGCCAGTCCGAGGGGGAAAGAGGAGAGCAGGTTGTATTGTAAAGAAATCTTACTGGGAGCACAGGAACAAACGATCCTGCTGTGCAGGAAAATAGTAAATGTGGCAAGCCTGGCTTAGCAGAGAACTCTTTGGGAAGCTTAAACACAAAAAGGAAGCTTACAAGAAGTAGAAGCTTGGACAAACAACTTGGGAGGAGTATAAGAGCATTGCTTGGGCATGCAGGGATGAAGTCAGAAAGGCCAACACCCAACTGGAGTTGTAGCTAGCAAGGGATGTGAAGGGTTTCTGTAAGTATGTTAGCAACAAGAGGAAGTTTAGGGAAAGTGTGGGTCCCTTACTGAATGGGGGAGGCAACCTAGTGACAGATGATAAGGAAAAGGCTGAAGTACTTAATGCCTTTTAACCTCAGTCTTCACAGGCAAGGTCAGCTAGCACAGTCCTGCAACTTGCAGCATAGTTTGGGGAAAAGGTGAGCAGCCCTCAGCAGTGAAGAAACAGGTGAGGGACTATTTAGAAAAGCTGAATGTGTACAAATCCATGGGGCTAAATGCAATGCATCTGAGGGTGCTGAGGAAATTGGCTGATGTGATTGTAGAGCTACTGATCATTATCTTTAAAAACTCATGGTGATCAGGGGAGGTCTCAGATGATTGGAAACAGGCAAATATAGTGCCCATCTTTAAGAAAGGGAAGATGGAGGACACGGGGAACTATAGATCAGTCAGCCTTACCTCAGTTCCCATAAAAATCATGGAGCAGGTCTTCAAAGAATGTATTTCTAAGCACTTGAAGGAGAATGTGATTAGGAACAGTTAGCACGGACACACCAAGGGTGAGTCATGGCTGAACAACTTGATTGCCTTATATGATGAGATAAGTGGCTCTGTGGATGCGGAGAAAGCAGTGGGCATAATATACTTTGACTTCAGCTAGTCTTTTGATACCATCTCCCACAGCATTCATGCAAGCAAGCTGAGGAAGTATGGGTTGGACGAATGTACTCTAAGGTAGACAGAAAGCTGGCCGGATTATTGGGCTCAACAGGTAGACATCAATGGCTCAATGTCTAGCTGGAAGCCAGTATCAACTGGAGCGGCCCAGGGGTTGGTCCTGGGGCTGATTTTGATCAATATCATTACAACTCTGGAAGAAGGGATGGATTGCACCCTCAGCAAGTTTGCAAGTAATACCAAACTGGGGGGTGTAGTAGATATGCTGAAGGGTAGGGCTAGGATTCAGAGTGACTGAGACAAATTGGAGGATTGGGCCAAAAGAAATCTCATGAGGTTCAACAAAGACAAGTACAAAGTCCTGCACTTAAGACGAAAAAATCCCATGCACCACTACAGCCTGGGGACGGACTGGGTAAGCAGTAGATCTGCAGAAAAGGACCTGGGGGTTGCCGTAGACAATAACATTGATACAAGACAGCAGTGTGCCCTTGTTGCCAAGATGGCTAACAGCATACTGGGCAGCATTAGTAGGAGCATTCCCAGCAGATGGAGGAAAGTAATTATTCCCCTCTATTCTGCGCTGGTGAGACCACATCTGGAGTACTGTGTCCAGTTTTGGGCCCCCACTACAGAAAGGATGTGGACAAATTGGAGAGAGTCCAGTGGAGAACAACAAAAATGGTTTGGGGGCTGGGGCACATGACTTATGAAGAGAGGATGAGGGAACTAGGTTTATTTAGTCTGCAAAAGAGAAGACTGAGGGGGGATTTGATAGCAACCTTCAGCTACTTGAAGGGAGGTTCCATAGAGGAAGGAGCTAGAGACTGTTCTCAGTGGTGACAGATGACAGAACAAGGACCAATGGTTTCAAGTTGCAGCAAAGAAAGTTTGGATTGGATATTAGGAAAAAACTCGCTCACTAGGGGGGTGGTGAAGCACTGGAACAGGTTACCTAGGGAGGTAGTGGAATCTCCATCCTTGGAGGTTTTTAAGGCCCAGCTTGACAAAGCCCTGGCTGGGATGATCTAGTTGGGCATGGTCCTGTTTTGAGCAGAGGGTTGGACTAGAGCTCCTGAGGTTCCTTCCAACCCTAATTTTCAGTGATTCTGTGATTCTAACCAAGGCCTAAATACTAAGATTCCTAACAGAGTGAATTGCTGGCACTTGTTCAAAATACACTTTTCAGTATGCTATGCAAACATTGTTGCTATCCCCATAAAAGTTACTGAAGTATTTAAAAGTGATGTGATACTTTGGATAAATAAACATACATCATAGTAAAGCAAGCTCTTAAATTAGTTAACAATTTTAAAAGTTTCATTGTCAATAGGCACACTGTATATGAAATGATCCCCAATTTGTTACATGCAAGATGACCCTTAATGGAAAGCTGAGGATGTATCAAATAAATCTGATGAAGGATGCGTTGAGGAGAAAGTTCATTTGTGACTTGGATGATCAGGGATGATTAAGTGAATGCACTGAAGTGATGAAATGGGTTGATTTTATTAGCTCTCACCTATATGTGTCGTCTTTTTCACTTTTTCCAATGCCAAGGAGTCCCCAGGTTGAGAATTACTTGCCTGCTTAGAAGCTCCCTTCTGTGGTGAAGGTGTAGGACCATCCTTTACTGTTTCACTCACTTTACTGACTCCTGTATGTCCCAGCTTATCAGAGCTACTGGGCAGTGTATGTCTGTTAAATTTAGCATTGCATTTTAGCAAAGCATCTGTGTCAAATATAGGCTGGGAGGACTCATGCATGCCTTCCCAACTTGTAGTGTAGTCTGTTAGTCCACCAGCTTTACCACTCAGTTCAGGACACACACCATGAAGCAATCCTCCCCCTATAATTACCAGAAAATAACAAAGACATTTTCAATTAGAATTCATCCTTATTTCTTCATTTACTTAACAGAATGAAGAAACTCACATAGGTAACAACACAGGCAGAACATAAACAACATGTTTTTAATGGACATTATGATATGCTGAGATTCACAAATTTGAAAAGCACGCAATACCTCTCACCCTCCTCGCCCCAACCAAGACTTTTTATGGTACACATTTTACAGTACATGTGAATGCTCCATAATTTAGAAGCTAATGGGGTTGGGAGGTATGTCAGTTTAAGACAAACTAGAGTTAGAATGTACACATACATGTTAAAATGTAAACATACAATTTATTCTAGCCCAGTGAGTTCATTCATCTTTTTGTATTACTTCAGGCAATAGCAAAATGGAAATAACTCGCCACCAGAATGGGGGAAGCACAGGTTTTAGAAGCACAGAAAAGCATCATAGCAATATTAGTAGGCTCAGATATGAAAACAAATCAGGCTGTTAGGATTAGAAACTGACTTTATGCAAGATGGTGTGTATTAGGTGATAAATAGAGATGATAAATACCACATCATGGAATCAGACTGCGACTCCATTTTCCAGCATAACTGTGAAGTGAACTTAGCAGTGTTTTCACACAGTGGTTCATGAATAGCATCCACGGAAGCCTGCATGGTGAAGGTGAATGGTCTATAGTACAGGGACTCAATTACTGCAAAAGGATGACTGTGAGGCATTACATATAATCTATAAGTAAATCATTATCTGTGGACAGCTCCATAGAACATGTCATTAGTTACAAATAGTTGCTAAAAACTATTGGTGAAATATATTTTTGCTGTTTTGCTTACCGTTGACCCTAGCAATGAGAAATAGCTTACCAATGGCTGCTTTCACTTGAATAGCCTCGGATTCCTGTGAAAATTCACTGAGTCCAGCTGCATTAACAGCTCTGACTCTGAAAACATAGTTTTCATCAGTCAGGAGTCCATGGCAAATAAATCTAAAATAAAACGGTGAAGGAATATTTAGAGAATACTGAAAGAAGTCCAAAGAAGACAAGACAAAACTACAGTATCATTTTTTTGGGGGGCTCTTAATCTCAGGAACACATAAAGCTTTTTCAACAGCAAATTCTGGAAATAACTGATCAGTACATGAGTGTTTTTATTAGGAGTGTTAGGATTCTGTCTCATAAAAATGTTGCACATGAAGCTGTGTAAACCAGGTAAAATATGGAAATGAAGATAAGACTTGGGTGATGATGAGCAGGACAAGGAACACGTGGAAATTTGACCTTACGTGAATGACAGCATTTCTCTGTAAGTCTCAAATTATTTCTGCCTAGTAACAGAGAAATGTCAAAGAATGGAGGATAATGATGCTAACATTAGCCTTGTTAATAAATTATTGTAATAGGTCATAACATGCCAGACTTGCTTCTCAATTAAAATGACATATGCACTAATTCCTATCAAATTACCAAAATTATTCTGGACTTCCATCAGTGTAACTGGGATCAGAACTGGGATTTTGTGAATTTAGGACCTAATTCTGAAAAGCTTATTCAGACTAAATTTTCCTGTGGCCAAATATTGATTTAATTTACTAAGGTATATATATCTTGATTAACTTTATTAACCAACTAGCCAATTGCCTGTCAAGAATGGTGGGGGAGGGTGGAGCAGGAAGGGATGGAGCCCTGTGGCCCCTCTGTCCGAGCCCACTTCCCCCTTCCTTCCTGCTGCTTTGGGTCCGGGCCTGTTCCCCCCCTCCTTGCTGCAGTGGTGGGGGGAGGAATAAGCCTGGACCCAATTCATGGGAGGACGAGGCCTGAGGGTGTGG